TAGCGCTCGTGACCCTGTCCACGGACGCGGGCTGGGCCCCACACGTCCATGTGAAGTGTCTGCAGCGGGGCCTCTGTCGGGGGAAACTGAGAGGAGTGAGGGGCAGCCCGGAGCCGCCCCTCGACACAGGGAACACAGGAAGGACCAGGCCCTGGAGGAAGGGGAGGGAAGGACCGGGGGAGACAAGAGACAAGGACACGGGAAGCCATGCCTCGGAGACGAGGCAGGAGGGGTGACCAAGACGGTGGTGCCACAGGAGAGTCTCGTGAGACAGGAGGCGACACGAGCAGGGGGCAGACTCAGGACCAGACCTGGACGCTGCAGCAAACACCTGACCCGACGCAGCTACCTGGCTAGACGCAGGGACAGGAGGAGACCCAGTGGTCAGGGTGTAGAGGCTCGACCCCGGCCGACGCGTAAACGTGGCCAGGTGCCGGCCTGTGCGAGCGTCCGAGCAGTGGGTCACCCGCTGACCCGCAGGAGTAAACTGGTGAACCCCCGTATCCTGCAGGTCAGCACCACTCACCAAGTTCGTAGAGAACGAGGGGAGGTAAAGACCAGACAAGGTGCCAGAGGGGGCAGCCGGACACGGGAGGAGAGTGGAGAAGTGAGAGAGGACAGGACCCCCAGAGGGGTCTGCCAGGGAGACTGCAACCGGCCGACCAAGCGGCGTGAGTGTGGTGCGGTCTCGAAAGAAGGAGCGAGAAGCCCCTGAGTCAAGTGTGAAGGTGAGGGAGGCCGAAGCCGACGTGGTACCTGAGAGCGCAGACTCACCAGCACCTGAGGGCGCAGACGCACTGGCACCTAGAGCAGCAGCCTCACCAGCACCTAGAGCAGCAGTACCAATGCCCGGGACAGGCGGGAAACACCGGTAACAGTCACCCTCATCACTAATAGTCACAGCATACATGGCAGCAAGGATAGCATCAAAGTCAAGATCATAGAAAGCTCTCCCCAGCGGGGGATCTCACTGGCCTCCGGGAACTGCTGACGCCAAGCGTCCGTCAGGCGGCCAAAGCAGCGGTGGGTGGGGTGGGCACCCCCACACTGCTCACCCGCGCGGTCGCCGGAGCAAAGGACGTAGGTGCACGGACCAAAACCCCCACCATGCTGACGCTACGCGTACCACTCACGGAGCTGCTGAGGGGGGGGAATGTCCCGAGAACGCTGCTGCTGTTGCTGCTGCTGGCGCTGACCACCACCAGGGCTGCTCCGCTGCAAAGCGCCACCCCGACCACCAACACCTCCTCCACCACCGCCTCCTCCACCTCCGCCACCACCGCCGCCTCCGCTAGCACCGCCGCCGCCTCCGCCGCCTCCGCCTCCACTGCTGCCACCGACACCTCCACCCCCGCCACCACTCCCATCGCCACCCCCACTCCCTCCGCCGCCTCCACCGCCTCCACCGCCACCTCCACCGCCCCCGCTAGCTCCACCCGCGCCCTTGCCCCCCTTGCCCTTGCCAGAGCGGCGTCTCCCGCTAGAGGCAAACGCCGCACCGACCGACTCAAGACCAACGAGGTCGACCGCAGCGGCAGAGGCGACAGAGGGCAAAAGGGGGGAAGGAGAACACCCCTCAAAGATGGGGGTGCGAGGGTCACCACGAGAGGCTCCTACAGCGAATATACTCTTCTCCGCTGCTAGGAGGGCCTTCTCTAAGAGGTCAACAGTGAGAGTGGTGGGACAGACTGAGAGGAAGTGGTCCCTGACTACACGAAGGGAGTCAGGGAGGCGGGTGACTATATAATAGAGAGTGATGTACATGGGGGGGGGGGTTCTTGGCGCAGAACTCAGAAGGAAGCGCGGCGCGGTAGCGAGTGTCACTAGTGCGGAGGTGCGTAATGAGGTCAGCGACTGTGGGAAAGGCAGCAAGGTCAGGGAAGAGGTACGGTAGCATGAGGCGGCTCAGTGCAGCAGTGGCAGGGGAAGAGTAGCACGCAAATACAGCGTCGTACAAGGTCTGAGCACTCTTGTACTGACAAAAGTGTGCGCGCTCAGTGGTAGGCAGGTGGCGACGCATAGCAAGACGTGCAGCACCATCGCGCGTGGCCCACTGGGAGCGAACAGTGGGGTCAGCATCAGCAGCAGGGGCAGGAGAGGCGCCAGAGGTGAGGTCAAAGAGAGAGAGACCGTCTGCCCTATCGCACTGTAAGAACAGCTGCAGGTCGTCGACCCAGACCTCAAAGTCAATGGCTCGACCCTCAGCGTCAAACGCGAGGACACTAGGGGTAGCCATGACAACAGTAGACTAGCAGTACCAACTGTAGGACAGGGGCAGTGCAGTGACAGAAGCGCTGCTCTCACCAGACAGGGCAGTTCGGGCAGCTCAGTAGCACAGCAACACGGCAACACGGCTGCTCGGACGGCTCAGCAGCAACTGCGGCTCCGCGGCACCAGCGGCTCGGCTCCTCAGGCGGCTCGGGCGGCTCGGGCGGCTCGGGCGGGTCGGGCGGCTCGGGCGGCTCGGGCTGGTCGGGCGGCTCGGGCGGCTCGGGAGAGTCGGGCGGCTCGGGCGGCTCCGGCGGCTTGGGCAGGTCGGGCGGCTCGGGCAGCTCGGGTGGCTCGGGCTGGTCGGGCGGCTCGGGCGGCTCGGGAGAGTCGGGCGGCTCGGGCGGCTCGGGCGGCTCGAGCAGGTCGGGCGGTTCGGGCGGTTCGGGCGGTTCGGACGGCTCGGGCGGCGCGGGCGGTGTAGGGCGGCAGGGCCGCTGGTGAAAGGGGCGGCGGGGCCGAAGTGAAGGGGCGGCAGGGCCGCTGGTAAAGGGCGGCGGGGCCGCTGAGAAGGGTGGAGGTGCCGCAGTAGAAGGGCGGCGGGGCCGCTGAGTAGGGCGGCGGGGCCGTTGAGAAGGGCGGCGGGGCCGCAGCGAGCGAGGCGGCGGGGCCGCAGGGTAGGGCGGCGGGGCCGCTGAGTAGGGCGGCGGGGCTGCAGCGAGAGAGGCGGCGGGGCCGCAGTGAAGGGCGGCGGGGCCGCTGAGTAGGGCGGCGGGGCCGCAGCGAGAGAGGCGGCGGGGCCGCAGTGAAGGGCGGCGGGGCCGCTGAGACGGGCGGCGGGGCCGCTGAGACGGGCGGCGGGGCCGCAGCTAAGGGCGGCGGGGCCGCAACGTGAGGCGGCGGGGCCGCAGCGAAGGGCGGCGAGGCCGCGAAGAAGGGCGGCGGGGCCGCTGCGAGGGGCGGCGCGGCCGCAGCGAAGGGGGGCAGGGCCGCGAAGAAGGGCGGCGGGGCCGCAATGTGGGGCGGCGGGGCTGCAGCGAAGGGCGGCGGGGCCGCTGAGAAGGGCGGCGGGGCCGCTGAGTAGGGCGGCTCGAAGAGGTGAGAGCCCGGAGCGCGACTCGGGGTGAGCGCGCTTCGGGCAGGAAAAAAAAGATCGATGTGGTGGGCCCTAGGCACAGTTCCCACGGGGGAACCTGCTCGATACCATGAGGAAAGTAGAACGAGAATGAATGACTATGGAATGAAAGTGATACAAATATGCAACCCTAGAAATGTGTACCCCATATGGGCTACCCCACTAAAGCCTAGACAACATTATAATTTGACAGGCTCCGCCTGGCTTTTCTCTGTTGGAGGTGGACTGGCCCTTCATTTTCGCATTCTCGTTTCTCATTCTTAGTTTTTTCCCAGCTCTGCGCCTTCCGTACTCCCACCGTTTCTTCCCTTAGCCTGTAGCATTCTCGCTCTCCAGCCATGGCGGCAGACCCGAAAGCCACCAAAGCGGCGCCGACCTCGCGCGACTTCCCCCTGTATCTAAACGTCGGTAGAGGACGTACAGCCAAGTTCGAGGAACACGACTACGCCGTTCTGACAAACCCTATGCTAGAGTTTAACGCCCGTTGCTTGGGACTCGGCCTCAAGTGAGTGTCTTATGGGGATATCGGCGTCATCAAGTTTATTTCATGTTGGTCTAGCCTTAGCAGGGATTCAAGCGACCCGTCGTTTAGGTCGACGGACTCATGGTTTAGGGTTCAGGGAAGTCGATCACATCGGTGTCGCCGACGTTAGGTGTTTGGTCGGCGTCGGTGCTGCGTTGTGCCATAGTCATTCGGCTCCCGTCGCTTCACCGCTCTGTCGTGCTATTGCCGCAACAGTAGTATCTGCCGTCGTCTCGAGCACCTACTCACGCACTCCTCCTAACCATGCATGCGTGCAGGCACGCTTGGTTGCGCGGAACGGATGAAAACGAGCGGCTGTGGTCGATAGGAGTCAGCCGTCTTCGGGCGGCGATGGGTCAGGGCGACCACACATGCTTTGCGTCGGTTTTTTACGCCGACGTGGCGGTTATCCCACTGACATCGAGGTGAGCTGGTTTGGGGTCGTCCCACTTGTGCTGCAACCTGTGTCGGTGATCTGTTCTGAGCTATGTTGACGTGCCTTGTCTGTGCAGCATCGCACCGCTTCTAGGATCACATTGCAGCGTCGTTGTCATCCTATGCCCCGGCGACTTGTTGAAGGCATCGGGCCAGAAGATCAGGACCTCTATCCGGCACGCTGACCCGCAGACGGTGAAGGAGTGGCACATGAAAGAGGCAAAACGCGTGCTGGAGTAAGCTCCATAGTGTAGTCGACGCCGCCTGCGTAGTCAAATTGCGGAGCGTGCACCATGCCAACTGACCGTCTGTGCCATGCTTATGCAGGTTTTTCCGGGCGGCTGTTATGGCCGAGCTTCAGCGCGAAGGTAGGAAATGGGAGTGGGCGAAGCTGTCCGAGGAGGAGGTGCATGCGAGGCTCGCCGACTGCGACGCACCCCTTCGAGATGTGAGTTTCCAACGTTTTTGTTAATATATGGTGTCACATCCTTGCGCGATGCAACTGCCGATCCGTTCTTGCGCGACGCGACTGCCGATCGCGGTGCTGATTTTTGCGCTCGTCTTTGTTGTATGCAGAAAGTGCCCGACACCGTCCGGGACGGGGACGCGGGCTCCGGCCTGCTAGCAATGAGCGCGTTGCTCTGGTTTGTGAGGCGGTTCGATCTCCTGACCGGCGCCCACCGTCGCAGTGTCACCAGCATGGACAAGGTGTATGTTACGGGGATGAAGGGGCTGCGGACTGAGATGGTAACCTTCATCAAGAAGCAAGTCGCGCTCATACGGTCGGGCCGAAACGTAGTTGCGGCCGACGCCTGTGACGACGACGGCGAGGAGGTTCCTTTGGCATCCCAAGCAGTAGGTGTCGCCCCCACCGTCGCTGATGCGAGTGGCACGTCGATCGGAAAGCCGGGAGGCGGCGTCGACGAGGACGAAGCGGCGACAGGAAAGGGTGTGACCGGGACCGATGAGAGGCAGCAGGATGAGGTTGGCCATGAGGATGATGATCGGGTCCATGATCGTGAGGAGGAGGGGGGCTCGGAGGAGTCGACGTCGGAGTCGGAGTCGGGGTCGGAGGAGGAGCAGGAGGCTCAGGATCAGGAGGAGCAGCAGGGGAAGCAGCACGAGGAGGAGCAGCTAGAGGGGGAGCTGGAGGTGGAGGTGGAGGACGTGGAAATGGAGGATTACGGGGCTGAAGGAGCGGAGGAAACTGGAGAGAGAGCGGAGGAGGTCGAGTACGAGAAGGGGGAGGGGAAGGGTGCAACAGCGGAGCTCCGAACGGAGAAAGAGGAGGTCGGCGTGGAGGCGGCTCACGGGGGGAGTGGGATGGTCGTGGTCGGCGATGGGACGGACGTTGTCGACCACGATGCCGTTGGACATGGGGATATCGCCGCGGCCACGAAGCAGACGGGCGTGGAAGTGCCTATCGATGTCACCGCAGAGAAGGCCGGGGGGGAGCGGTCTAGGAAGAAGAAGTCGGCGAGCGGTCATCCCGGATCCACCGCAGCTGGGCGGCAGGCGCGGCTGGACGTCGTCAAGCAACTGAGAGGGGAGAATAGGCGATTGCGTGCTGACAATGCACGCCTTGAACGGCAGCTCGGTGAGCAGACGGGGCGGGTCGACGCGTTGGCGGCGGACGTAGCTGGGCTCCTCGACAAGCTGAAAAAATTGACCGCCCAGGTCGCCGAAACCGGCCGGAAATCGGTGGAGCACCTCAAAGAGGCCACGTCGACCATGGGGACCACAATCACCGAGGGCCTCACCGACAACATGGACAGCGCAATTCAAGCGGGCAAGTCCTTTGCCGAGCTAGCGAGGCAGATGCTACTGGATCTCGACGACCCCGAAGGACGAATGGCGGTCGCACGCGCGAACGTGGTGGACACTTTGGTCGAGCACGTGACGGCTGAGGTGGGTGAGGCGAGGAAGGGGTTGGAGGAGACGGTCATTAAATACATCAGCGCTGCGCAGACCAACATTGCCACCGCCGTCTCTCCCTGCCTCGTCGTTCAGTAGCCGCCGCCGACCGCCCCAGCGCAGGCCTTGTCGGCCGAGTTCCTGAAGTCCTTCAAGGAGGATGTGCTGAAGGCGGTGACGGAGACCACGCAGCAGTCCTTTCTCGCCTCCGGATAGAAGATAATGACAGAGGTGGTCGGCACGGTGGCGATTGCTCGGCGTGGGTCGTCGCCGTCGGCAAACGACGCCGGCCAAGCGCAACCTATGGAGGCCAAGAAGCAGGGTCAGAAGAGGGGGGGCGACGGAGACGATTCGGCGAACGTGAAGCGGAGCAAGGGAGCCGGGGGGTCTCACGTCGCCGGCGACGGGAGCAAGGGGGCCGGAGAAGGTGGCGGCGGGGGGGGGAGACGGAGACGATTCGGCGAGCGTGAGGCGGAGCAAGGGAGCGGGGGGGTCTCGTATCACCAGCCAAGGGAGCAAGGGAGCCGGTGAAGGCAGTTCGGGGAAGCAGTCGGGGAAGAGCGTGGTCCACATCCTCAAGAAGCACTGGGCTACTGTTTCATCGCCCAGCACGGGCCATGGTGGTGGGGGTCCCGCCGACGAGCATGCCGCTGATGACGCACGGCCAAGGGCTCCGCCTGTGGTGGCCGAGAAGCCGCCACGACAGGGTAGCGGAGAGAAAGGGCTGAGCGGCAAGGAAAAGGCCGCCGCCAAAACGACCCCAGGCGTTTCCGCGAAAACTGGCCAGGGGCCGACTGCCGGGGTAGTGGAGGCATCAGCGGTTCCTCACCACCCTCCCGCGGGTGCACGCCCTCTGACCGGACCGTCTGCCGGGCGACCTGCCGACGTCCCGCGCCATGCCGACGTCCCGTCTGCCGACAAGGTTGGCCGCGCGGGGAAAGTGGCGGCAGTTGCTGACGCGCTAAAGGAGCAGCTGAGGCTCCTTGCCGGCCACAAGGCTCCTCAACAGCCTCCTCCCGCTGTCGACGTCTCATCGGCCGGTGTGCCACGTGTAGTGCCGGTCATCGCCGCCCGTACTCCTGCAGACCCAAAGTCCGCGTTCCTGCGCGCCCAGTTGGGCGCACTAGCGTCGACTGCGCCAACTCAGAAGGCATCCGGCTCTGGCGCTACGCCGTCGTCGGCGAATGTCGCACCACCCACCCCTGCGGCAGTTGAGGTTGAGAAAGCGGCAGAGAAGGGCGTTCGTACCGCAATTGCCACCGGCGGAGGCCCTGTTGAGGAGGTCCCCCCGACGCGGATATCGCTGCCATACAGGCCCATCTGGATGCCGCCAAACCCCGAACACTGGCCATCTCCGACACGGCACATGTGGAGCCTTCGGCGGGTCCCGTCGGTAGTTCAGCAGAGCCTAGTGCGATCGGTGATGCTGCCGGTGAAGGAAAGGCGAAACGGAAGGGGAAGGCGGGCTCACAAAGGAAGACGCGGGAGAGGTCGGAGGTGAAGGCGGCGGATAGAGGGAAGGCGAAGGCGGCGGATAGAGGGAAGGCAAAGGCGGCGGAGACGGCAGCGGACAAAGATGGTGGCGGCAATACGGGGATGAAAGGGAAAGCGGGGGAGCATCAGGAGAAGTCGCTCGGCGAGGGTACGTCGACGGGGAGGAAGGGGAAGGACAAGTCGGTCGGAGAAGGTACGTCGACGGGGAGAATGGGGAAGGAGAAGGCGGTCGGCGATGCTTTGTCGAAGGGGAGAAAGGGAAAGAAGAAGGCGGAGGAGGATGAGGAGGTCAAGGAGGTGGAGGAGGTAGAGCATGAGGAGGAGGAAGAGGAGGAAGAGGAGGAGGAGGAGGAGGAGGAGGAGGAGGAGGAGGAGGAGGAGGAGGAGGAGGAGGAGGAGGAGGAGGAGGAGGAGGAGGAAGAAAAGGGCAAGGAGAGGAGGGGTCATGGCATCCGACACGACAGCTCGGGCGACAAGCAAGGGTGGGTTGGCGAGATTAAGGTGCACGGCATCAATCGATACATCGGCAAGTCGCGTGACAAGATGGAGCTCGCGTACGTGCACTCCATCGCGTACGTCGTGTACGACGGTTTCGTGAGCAAGGTGCTCATGTCTGAGCTCATCGTCTTGGACAGCGCCGAATTGGGGAGGTGGAAGGAGGTGCGGGAGGAGGTCAAGATCTTGCCGACAAGGATGTGGACGGTGATGTGGGCCCGGGGTACGCTCCTTCCAAAGACACGGTAAGTCGGTTAACCTCTGCCCCCAAGTCGACATACTGTGACGATGTCGTTGTCGTGGTCACTAATGTTCGCCCTGTTTGTTGTGCTGGCGTGACAGGCTGAACGATATCCTCGACAAGTATCGTCATTACAAGGCCTCAGGCGATGCTCTCCATGCCGCGCTCCTGCCAGCGATATGGTACCCAGTCGATGCCAACACCGAGGATGGCCAAAAGAAGTCGGCGTCTATGATGTCGGCGATGATAGGTCGCGTGTCCATGTGCGCTGCGAACGCGGCGAAGAAGGAGGGAGACAAGGAGGAGAAGACGGATATGGCGGCATGGGCGTTAGCAGCGTCCGCATGCGCTGTGTGGTGCTTCGTCGAGAACGGCGATGCCCAGGTGGCGGATGCTATGGAGGAAGGGAAGGCGGTGGCGCTTGTGTGCGGAGCAAGCCAGGCGACCGCCGATGTATTCGGAACTGTCATGGAGGCGGTGCCGAACGTCGCGATCAACAGGGACCGCCCCCTGGGAGAGGTTGCGTACAACGTCGCGCCAGCACTGCAGAGGCACGCCCTTGACAAGGTCTACCCGGGGGGGAATGCTGGCGTCGATGCCGACGTGGTCGCTAGAGCCACGGTCGAGACCATGGCGTTCTGGGGAATGTGCCCCGTAGCCGGGCCGAAACTCAAAGCGAAGGATATCGCGGTGCCGTGCGACGCGCAGATGAAGGCCGACCTTGACAACAGGGGGAGGAGGGGTCAGAGGGGCAAGAAGGGGACGGAGGCCAAGGGCGGCACGGGGAAGAAGGGGACGAAGGCCAAGGACAGCGCGGGGAAGAAGGGCCAGAAGGGGACGAAGGCCAAGGACAGCACGGCGGCGTAGTCGGCGGGCTTCTGGAGCGACAAAGGTTGCCGTCTTGCTAGGATTCATTGCTGCTAGGATTTGATTCTGCTATGGTCGATGTCGTTTTCAGTGTGTCGGCTGTCGGATCGCTGAGATGCTCGTTTTTTTGTGTGTTTCTTTTGTGTGATTGCTTGTCGACTTTAAGTAGGATGTGATTGGATCGATTTGTCGACTTGCAAAGGTTGTAAAACCCATTAGCTTGTCGACTACACGTGGGTTGTGATTACGGACATCAAGTCGACAAATTAATCAGTATAAAACCTATGCAATCTGCGTCAACAAGCTCTACAACATGCAACATCCCACAGCAACAGCTTGAAACCTTTGCGTGCTGCACCATTTACGCGGTCTTCTTGCGCTTGGCCGACTGCTTGGTCGGAGGCAGCTGCCCGGCGTCGTTCTCGCGGGCCATGTCGGCCAACGTCACCTTCATCTGCTCCTCCCAGGTGTCAGGGAACAGGTCGGCGACCCACTTTTCCGGCTTGAACCCGCGCGCCACGAACGCACAGGCTACACGAAGCTTGGAAACCTGACCCTTGCCGAGCCCCTTGACGCCCTTACCCGGACCGGCAAAGGTCGCGACTGTGTCGGCGTTGAGCACCGTTAGGGCATCCGAGAAGGTCCCAATGCCAGGCGCCGCTATCTTGTTAAGCGCGTCGACCACCTCCTCCGTGTCGGCTTCGCCGTCGCTCAGGCGAAGATGGCGCACCGCATCGATGACCTTCATCATGCGGCGCACCCTCTTCCCGAGTGCTCCCTGCGAGACACCGTCGAGGAGGGTGTGGCGGTCGACGAAACCCGGCTCGGTGAACCTGTCGCACAGACGACGGGTGTCGGCGCTGGTGCACGAGGTCCAGAGGCGCCACGCGTCCCTCACGGTCGTTGCATTCCGCCAAGGCTGCACCACGTTGAGCTCGTAGCTAGCCTCCTCGACCGTCTGTGGGGGTTTAGGGGGTTTCTTGGCTCCGTCACCCTTGCTTGCCGAGTCCGCGGAGCCACCGTCGCTCGGCGACTGCTCGTTCGCAGCTGGCGGCGCCTCCGGCATCCTACGGGCTTCTGAAACGCGGAGAGCCTCGGTGAGGCGGGTTATCTCGGCCGTCAGCGACGCGATGGTTGCGTCGCGCATGTCGATCTTCTCCTCGAGGTCGATCTTCTCGACCGCTGACCGCTCCCTCTCGAGCTTAAGCGTCTCTGTGAGGGAGACGACCGCGTACTGGGCGTCATGGCGGAGCGATATCTCCTGCAATGGTAGGCGAATAACGTTGCAGGTGAGTGGTTGTAGTGGTCACAGTGCACATGGCGACGTCGATATGCATAATAACTTACCTCTGGCTGGATGAGGGTTGGGTCTTGTCGTTTTTTTATGGTCTCGGTGTCGGTTTTCTCGACCCTCTTCGCCCAGTGCTGGAAGAGGGGAATCCGGCAGAGCTTGGAGTACTGGACGTACGGGTGCCAAGGGGTGCGGACGAGTTTTACAGCGAGGTCCTCGGCGACAATACGGCGAAACATCAGGAGGGTACACCAGAAATGCACGGCGGCAATGTCGGCGTCGGACCCCTTCTTAGCGAGCTCTTCCGCCTGCAATTAGACAACGGAAGTGGGTGATTACCGTCGGTCGGAAGGACGATACCATGCGAGGCGTGGTCGGCACCGACAAAAATACCTTCTTAAGGAGGTCGTCCACGCCGGGGAATATGTGCTCGGCGATGAGATCCAGGAGTTCGGGCGTGGGTTCCACCCTGCTGCGACCCAAGAAGTAGTCCTGCGTGAAACCAGAATAGCCGGCCTTCTTCATCACCACGCCGACGGGAATGGCTGTGATGTAGGCTCGAGTCATCTTGTCGATAGCCCAGTGACCCAGCTCGGCTATCTCGGCGCGAGACGTACCGCCGATGGCCAGCTCCTGCGCCCCGCCAGCCCGAGCGGCATGGACGTTCCGCTTGCAGAACACCCCATTAGTCTTCCACATCTGCCTCGTCCATTGCTGGTGGCTGGGAGCTGGGAGTTCGTGCTGCTCGGGGTCGTTGCGGGCGAAGAAAAGGTGCTTCTTGTACCAGCGCTCGCGTGTGCTGGTGTCAACCGGCGGAATGAGGTCGACGCCGTGAAACTGGCCGATCTGGTCAAGGATGAAGTGTAACCACAGGCCGGTCTCGCCGACGGCGCACAACTCCGCCTCGAGGTGCCGCGCCGCGTAGCTCTGGTGAAGATGCGCATCCTTCGACGTCTTCGAGTTCCGAGCGGCTACGACCATGACGACCGGCTGGTTTTCCGGGTTCACCAAGGAGGTGCTCGCCAGTCGGTACAAGAAGATGTCGGGGAGCGTTATCTCGCGGATGCTTGCACCGCGCATGAGGCTGTGGTGGGAGAGCAGCGTGAGCACCTTGACGAGAAGAAACCTCCACAGCGTCTGCGAAGGAGTGGTAAACCGCGGGCACCATGCCGACGCCGCCCAAGCCGGCAGCACCCTCGTCATGATATGGCGGAACTGTTCGGTGGTGTACGTGTCGCCGATGGTGCCACGTCGATGGTCGGCGCAATCACTGTCGACAGAACAACATAGGGATCCGATTATAAGGGCGAGGACCACAAATCGATAGCGACAGAACTCGCCGCTGTATGCCAACTTACTTGATGTCCCTCTGATTCTTGGTGCGGACCATGACCCGCACCTCCGAGCGGACAACCGAGATTTCCCGCATGATGCCCAACTCCTTCTCCTTGTAGAGCGTCGCCTCCACCCTCGCCGCCATCTGGCAGGCCTTGATACGGCCGAGGATCATGTGCACCGTGTAGGCTTGCACTGTCAAACATTATATATGTTTCTGTTGTGTAGGCTACAGTGGGTTAGCCTTTAGGGGGTACATTTCACTAGGGTTTCCTACTTGTACTCCAACAACTTTCTAGTTCATCACTTCTTGATTCTGACATGGTATTAAGAGCTTAGGTTCTAGTCCTAAGGGCCCACCGTTCCGCTAGAGGTGCCCTCGTGCGCCCCCCCTTTTTTTTTTTTTTTAGCGCCCTCCTGCGCCTCTCCCCTAGTGCGCCCTCGTGCACTCTCCTCTCACGCTGCCAGTGTGCAGCCCGCTAGCAGCCCGAGCGCGGCCCCGCCATTTTAGCACGCGTAGGAAATTCGCCACCTAGGGTGGCCCGAATTTTTCTCGCGAGCCCCAGCAGGCCGTCGCCCGTAGGCCCCGCTCGCCCCTAGGTCGACGCGCGACCCACAGCCGCCCGCCCGCAGGTCGCAGCCAGCGCGCCACGGCGATCGCGCGTCGGCTGCTGCAGCTAGCGCTTAGCCGCCGCTCGAACGCAGCCGCGGCCCGCGCGCAGCCGCACCCTAGGCGCCGCCGTGCATCGAGCATAGGCCCGCCGTCGCGCCGCCATACCTACCCGAGCCGCGCCGCCCGAGTCGCGCTGCCCGAGTCGCACAGCCCTGACCGAGCCGCGCCGCCCTACCTGCAGCAACTGCTCTTCCTGCTCCTACTGCTACTACTGTTGCTCCTGCCAGTGCTGCTACTGCTACTACTGCTCCTGCTACTGCTACTACTGCTACTGCCACTATGGCCAGTCCCACTGTTCTCATCTTTGACGCCGAGGGCCGCCCGATTAAGTTCGATGTCTGGCTTGATGACCTTCACCTGTACCTCCAGATCACTGCCAAGGACGACGTCTCCCTCTATGACCACACATCCGGCGCTGCTCCCGCACCTGTTGCTACTGCTGACAGTACTGCTCGCTCACAGTGGCAGACTCGTAACGCCCATGCTCGCCTAGCCGTTCGCAGCCACCTGCCGTTAGATGAGCGCGAGCACTTCGGCCAGCATAAGACCGCTAAGGAGCTGTATGACGCTGTAGTTGCCCGCTACTCCTCCCCTGCCACTGCTGCGATAGGCCGTCTCTCACTGCCCTACCTCTTCCCCGATCTGTCTGCCTTTGCCACTGTAGCCGACCTCATCACTCACCTCCGTACTAGTGATCTCCGCTACCGTGCCGCACTCCCCCCCGATTTCCTAGCCAAGAACCCCCCCCCCCCCCCCCCCCGATGTACCTCACCCTCTACCACCTGGTCACTCGCCTCCTTGACTCTCTTCGCGCTGTCAGGGACCACTTTCTCTATCTCTCCCCCATAGACCTCACTGTCGACCTGCTCGAGAAGGAACTCATCACAGCTGAGAAGAGCATTGTAGCTGTAGGTGCCTCTCGTGGCGACCCTCGCACTCCCTTCTTTGAGGGATGTTCCCCCTCCCCCCTTCTCCCCTCCATTGCATCTGCTGCTGCTGTCGACTACCTCGGTGCTGAGGGGGTCGGAGCTGCGTTCGCTCCCAGTGGGAGGCGCAGGGGCGGCAGGGGCAAGGGGGGCCGGGGTGGAGGAGGCGGTGGCGGGGGAGGTGGTGGTGGAGGGGGTGGAGGGGGCGGCGGCGGTGGCGGCAGTGGTGGGAGTGGTGCTGGTGGTGGGGGGGGCAGTGGCGGAGCCGGAGGTGCTGGAGGCGGCGGTGGTGGAGGTGGAGGCGGTGGTGGTGGCAGTGGTGGCGGCAGTGGAGCTGGTGGAGGGCGCGGTGGAGCGGTGCAGCGTGGCGGGTTCGGCGGCAGCCAGAGGCAGCAGCAGCAGCGCCCCAGCGAGCCCCCGTCGCCCCAGCAGCTCCGTGAGTGGTACTCTCAGCGTGGGGGGTCTGGGGGTGGAGGTACCTGCCCGTACGTCATCCGCACAGGTGACCGCACTGGCCAGACTTGTGGGAAGTTTCACACGGCGCAGCGCTGTTTCTTTTGCCTCGACGACGCCTGGCGCGAGCAGTTCCCTGACGCCTCTGAGCTGCCCCGCTGGGCTGATCTGCTTAGGAAGGGGATTGATATCTTTGCTCTTGATTACGATGCTATCCTTGCTGCTATGTATGCATTGACTATTAGTGTTGAGGGTGACTATTACCTGAGTGTACCGCCCGACCCGGGTATTGGGACCAGTGAGGCTGCAGCTCTAGGTGCTA